CCCCCCGCGCCCCGCCACCCTCGGCGGGCCATTCCGGGACCGTCTTCCCCCTCGCGACTTCACACCGTTATCCCTCCACCCGCAATCCAACCCTTTTCTGACAGCTCACTCCAAGGCTTTTCGTTTCAGTTCAAATCTATTGACTACGCGGGCCCTTCCCAGTTCTGGAGAGATTTGGAGGAAAAATAGGCGCCCTTGCTTTGCAAGCGGACTCGGGGCCGGCTGCCCGGGCGCCTCTCCCGGCCTGCCAGCAGGGGGCAGTGTCTCCAACCCCGGCTGCTGCCCCGGTCTCGCTGAGGGTAGAAGGGCTACGCTGGAGGCCTTCTCCTGGCTGAGATCGGGGAACACATCTCCCACCTTCACCCCAGGGCCGCGCCAGATCTCACGCTCGATTCTTGGTTAGAAGGTCTCCCAAGACTGCAAAATGAAAAAGGTCCCCGAAGAGACGCCTGGGACGGCCTGGGGTGCTTTCAGTATCTAGGAGCCTCTGCCTCCGGGGGCGGCTGCCAGGGTGGAGAGCCGCCCTCAAGGCCACCTCGGGAGGCTGGTGGGGGCTGGATTGGCAGAGGCCCAGCGTCTTTCTGGTGTGCATCCTTCTGCTCGACTCCGGATAATTCCCAAAGGAAGTCACAATTGCTGTTCACTTGTTTCTCCAAGTGAGTGATTGCCTTAGGCATGGGTAGTGACCTAGGTGAGGAGAGGTCAGGTCTGAGGACCAGGTGAGGAGAGGTCAGGTCTGAGGTCAGGTCTGAGGACCCTTTCTGGGAAGGGTTTTTCTTGCCTTGAAAAGACAAAAACAACAACAAAAAAAACCCCAGCTCGGCTCGGTGGCTCAGCCTGTAATCCTGCTCTTTGGGATGCTGAGGTGAGTGGATTGCCCGAGTCCGCAGGTTCAAGACCCGCCCGGGCAACTTGGCAAGACCTCATCTCCACAATAAATCAAAAAATTAGCAGGGCGTGGTAGCGCGCGCCTGTTGTTCCAGCTACTTCGAAGGCTGAGCCCAGCAGGTCGAGGCTGCAGTGGCCAGGAACGTGCCACTGCACTCCAGCCTGAGCAACAGAGTGAGACTCCAACTCAAAAAAAAACAGAAAGAAAAAAAAAAGTCCCTTATCTTTCATGGGGCATGTTGTAGCTAGAAAGGATCTTTAGAACTGTGACAGCCACTTGCAGCCACAGGAGGAACAAGGAAGAGCCAACTTGCTGATTAGGACAGATCCTCCCTGCCTCCCCAGCCTCCTTACAACACCCCCTCCAACTCGTCCTCAATCACAGTGACCTTTCATTTTCCTTCCCATCGTGTTCCTGCTGCCTCAGGGTCTGTATACATGTGACATTTCCTGCCTGGAAGGCTCTCCATAAACCACCCTTGCCTAGCTGGCTCCTGCTCTTCCGTCCTTCAGGTCTCAGCAGTCTTGAGCATGCCAACACACACACTCACACTCAGATGGGTTGGCCACCAGTGACACATTCTCACTCCCCCGTATCTCTTTTTCAGCTACAGTTAATTAATCCATCACTTTCCTGTGTGCTTCTCTGTGATGGTTGTTCATAGGGCTATCACCGAATTCCTTGTAAGAATTAGTGCATGCCCAGCGCCTAGCACCATGCTCAGGCAGCACAAGTTAATGATTGCATGGATGACTGTCCTCTGGTTCTCCTACTGGATGACAGTCATTTTAAGATTTATCGCCGGGCTTGGTGGCTCAGCCTGTAATCCCGTGCCTTTGGGAGGTTGAGGTGAGTGGATTGCCTGAGTCCGTGGGTTCGAGACCCACCTGGGCAACTTGGCAAGCCCTCATCTCTACAATAAAAAAAAAAAAAGATTTATCATGGAGCCATCTCTTTCATGCAGCCCCTTTCACACTGCCCTCATGGTGCTCCCATGGTACCATGCAAATGCTTGCTCCTGTGTGCTTCTACTCCCCCAGCACTGTGAGCCCTGGAGGTCAGGGCAAGTGGGACTTGTCTTTCAGCCCATGTCTGAGACACAGAGGGTACAGTGCCAAGGGAGCCCTTGAGAGCCTCTCTGTGCCTGGGCCTGTCTCCTCCCAGGTTCGTGAAGTGAGTGGAGCTCAGACTGGCTGAGGAGGAGAGAGCTGTGGCCACTATCTACACATGTTAGGTGTCAGCCTACTTTCCAGAGATTGATTCTCTCATTAGCAATTCTAATAATTTCTAATTCTCCAAATCCCAGGTCCTCATCTAGCCAAACACGACATTACACTTTGGTTCCCCTTCCAAATGTCTGTGTTTGCAGATGGAGGACATTCCTTTAAATAAATATGGAGGGGTTCCTTCCTCTCTCCTCTTCCTCACCACCCATCTTCATTCCCTAGGATGGGCCTTTTTGTGTTTATCTCTGAAACATCTACCACTGGGTTTCTGAGTTTTGACTCCCATGGGACTACAGTTGAGGCTAAGGGCAGGTTTTTTTACTTTCACCTTTTCCCCCTCCCTCCCCTCCCCCTTTTTTTGGTTATCTCCTTTCTACTTTGTGAAAACATGTAGCATTTACATTCCATTCCTAACCCTGAGCCACACCTTTGTTTTTGTCTTAGATCTGCAACTGAAGATATTAGAAGCTCTCTGCCATTCCTTTTGATGAAATACTTTCTGCTGTCACCCAAGCTGGGTGCAGTGGCTCATGCTTATATCCTAACACTTTTAGAGGCTGAGGGGAGGGGGAATCACTTTTGAGGTCAGATGTTGGAGACCAGCCTAGGCAACACAGCAAGACCTCATCTCAACAAAAAATTTTTTAAAAATTTGCTGGGTGTGGTGGCATGGGCCTTTAGTCCTAGCTATTTGGAAAGCTGAGGCAGAAAGATCACTTTGGCCCAGGAGTTTAAGGCTGCTGTGAGCCGTAATCGTGCTACTGCACTCCAGCCTGGGTGACAGAGTGAGACCTTGTGTCCAAAAAAAAAAAGCTTTAGTCCTCCAGAAGTCTTCTCAAGAATGAAATATTTGTAGATAAACTGATAAGACATCTGGGATCTGAATTAACAATTTTTATAGCTGGGTAATGGGTCCGTGAGGAATAGTCTATTTTTAAAAAGCTAAAATAAAAAATTTTAAAAGAGCTTATGTGAACAATATTTTAAGTTCTTAAATGTTTGGTTATTACAATTGATGTATAGCTTTATACTTTATCCTTCACTGAGTTTGAAGTCTGAGGCTCACACTTCTTAACTTAGGCATCTTCTAGGTGTGACTGCAAGGCCTTCCAGCATAGAATGCTGAGTAGGCCTTTAATGTCTGATGCCCACTGGCATATCTAATAAGTGACATCTTTTGGACTGACTTTATTTTATTTTATTTTATTTTTTTGAGTTGGAGTCTCACTCTGTCGCCCAGGCTGGAATGCAGTGGCACACTCATGGCCACTGTAGCCTCGACCTGCTAGGTTAAAGTGATCCTTCTGCTTCAGCCTTCCAAGTAGCTGGAACTACGGGCATGTGCCACCATGCCCAGCTAATTTTTGTTTTATTTATTGTAGAGACGAGATCTTGCCATGTTGCCCAGGCTGATCTCGAACCTATGGGCTCGGACAATCCTCTCACCTCTGCCTCCCAAAGTGCTGGGATTACAGGCATGAGCCACAGTGCCCAGCTAGAATGACTGCTATTTTAAAAATATAAAAACAAAAGCAAAAAGACAACAGACAATAACAAGTGTTAGCAAGGCTATGGAGAAATTGGAATCCTAGTGCAATGTTGGTGGGAATGTAAAATGGTGTAGCTACTATGGAAAACAGTATGGCAGTGGGGAGGCTAAAGCAACTCCATCTTGGATGCTAATCCGCTATGTTGACTTCTGATTAATACCAATTCAAGGGATGCCTCTAAGATTTCTATTTTATCTATTGTTCCTTGTGTAAGAGCATGTACTTACTGTAAATCCTGCTCTTAGGTCAAAAAAACCTTGATGTTATTATACTTACCATAAGTCTTGCCCTTCAGCAGTTGTCCTATGAGGCCCTTTTGAAGGACATACACTCTTTCCTTATTGTATATAAGCCCTGGGTCTTGAGGATAACAGCATAGGGATCCACCATCTTGTTTTGCCACTGCCTAAGACCTGGCTTATGTCTGTAAGTCCCTATTCAATGTTTCTTTCTGGGAAATGGTATTTGTTAGCTTCTTTCTTTTGTC